TACTATAAACTATATATTTTCTCGAAGCATAATTCTAATGGAACATTTTCAGATTATCTAAAAATAAAAAATCCAAGATGACGGTAAAAAAACATGGCGTCCTAGATGGCCACCATTATTTTTTTTCATAAGAAATTTAAATTTTTGCTATTACTCTCATAACCAGTCTTTAAGTGTTTTATTACACCGAACTTTCTAAAAAGTCTACATACATCATGTCGTTAAAAAACAAAAAAAACAACTTTAGGTAGCTTGGGTGTCTTCCTTTATCTTGGATTTTGAAGTAGCAGATAATAATTAGTATATATCTTTTGAGAAATGTGCAAATTTAGAGAGTAGTATGTAATTCATGTGTGATACTTTCATGTTAATATAGAAAATTATGTGTTTTATCATATTTTACGGCTTTTTTTTACAAAAAAAATGTTTTTGTTTGATTCATTTTTTGGGAAACTTTGCCATATAAGAGGAGATAACTTAGATAAGGTAGCTTTTATAATAGAATGTGGTGTGAATTTATCTATTTTATAGTGTGTCTTTTAGTGTTGTAATGTTACACTACTGTCTCAGGTTAGGGTGCCGGTTGGCGCCTGGTAAAACGTTTAAACCCGCTGCATTTGTATGCACCTGTCCTAAGTCAGAACCCTGTTGTTCATTGGTTGTGCTTTGTTCGTGTGGTTCAAAGGTGTTTCTCGTTTCTTGTATAGATTAGACTGTTGGTTTTCCTGTTTGAATTGTTTTACACTAGTCATGTTGGGGCCCTTTATAGCTTGCTGTTCGGTGATCAAACTACAGATCAAGGAGGTAGCTTTCTCAATTTTGAAGGGACATAAAAAATCTGGAAGGGCGATTGAATTTAGAAAAGGGTTAGCCTGCTTGGCCAGTTAAAAGAAATCTTATTTAGGCTACTCCAGAATTAATTATTTTAAACTGTTTAATACCGTCTATGAAGGTGAAAAGGGGGGTTAATTCTTATCACGTGTGCTCTTTAAGACGTTTGGTATTTTGATATTATTATAAACTTGATTGCTTTGTCAAGTTTGAAAACAAAAAGGACAGAAAAATAAAATTGCAAATGGGAATCACGTAGTTTCTTATTTAATTTTCTCAAAAAAGATCATTTCTAATGAACTATAGCCATGATAGCTGTTGATTTCTGTTTCATTTTGGTATCTTGTGAAGAATTGTGTTATTGGCAATCATACCACATCTTCTTATTATACCATCTTCTTATTATACCCCACAAAACAAAGTTCCATAGGGTATATTGTTTTTGACCCGTCAGTCCGTCAGTCTGCAAATTCGTCAGTCCGTTCGTCAGTCCTGTTCTTGTCAACGCAACTCCTTTGAAACTTCATAGATAAACTCAAAATTTCATGAAACTTCATAGATAGTTGGGACATAATATGTAAAAAATGTTTACTTCCGTACTCTTAACAACAAAATTATTATATTTAAAATTACTTGTGTACGTTGTTTTATTTAACGCCATTGTGCCCAAGGTTGGAGTTGTCTTTTTGACACTGTTCCTACACCTTTTTTTATTAATATTGTATTTATAGTTTGTCAAAGATGAAACTTTTTTCGTTCAGCGTATGTTTACTAGTTTTTTTTCAAATATAAAAAAGAAGATGTGGTATGATTGCCAATGAGACAACTCTCCACAAGAGACTAAATGACAAAGAAATTAACAACTGTAGGTCACCGTACGGCCTTCAACAATGGGCAAAGCCCATACCGCAAAGTCAGCTATAAAAGGCCCCGAAATTCAAACGAGAATAATAACGGCTTAATTAATGTGCAAACAAATGAACGAAAAACAAATATGTAACACAAACAAACTAAAACCACTGAATTACAGGCTCCTGACTTGGGACAGGCACATACATACAGAATGTGGCGAGGTTACACATGTTAGCGGGAACCAAACCCTCCCGCTAACCTGGGACAGTGGTGTAACAGTACAACATAAGAACTAACTATAAAAATCAGTTGAAAAAGGCTTACCTCATTACATGTAGATGGATACAATTAGAAACACATCTAACAAAAACACAGAGTGGACGTGGCCGGGTACTTGTATATCCCAACAACAATAAGACACTAAGTAAATGTCTTTTTGGTCGAGTTAAGCCATTTCAATTGGTATTTTATAGTGTATCTTTTTATGATGTAATGTTACACTACTGTCTCAGGTTAGAATGAAGGTTGGCGCCTGTTAAAATGTTTAAACCCGCTGCATTTTTACGCACATTTCCTAAGGCAGGTGCCTGTTGTTCAGTGCCTGTCGTTTGTTGGTGTGGTTCATAAGTGTTTCTCGTTTTTAAATAGATTAGACCGTTGGTTTTCCTGTTTGAATTGTTTTACACTAGTCATTTAAGGGCCCTTTATAGCTTGCTGGTCGGTGTGAGCCAAGGCTCTGTACCTTGACTTATAATTGTTAACTTTTTATACATTGTGACTTGGATGGAGAGTTATCTCATTGGCACTCATACCACATATTCTTATTTATAGATATACTTATTGGAGGTGTGATGAGATGATTAAAGCCATAAATTTCCTGCTTGACAACATTTATGTACGTTTCGGCAATAAAGTTTATGGACAGATTGTTTGCATTCCTATGGGCACCAGTTGTGCTCCTTTAATATCAGACTTGTTCTTGTACAGTTATGAATGACAGTGTATGGCCAAACTCAGTAAAGACTCGTTTAAATTCCATTTAATTGATAAATTCAACAACACTAATCGTTATATTGATGATATTTTTTCGTTAAATAATCAGGAATTCTCTAAATATACTGCCGAAATTTACCCACAGGAACTTACCTTAAATAAATCAAATATTAACAGCAATAAGTGTCCTTTCTCAAAATTTACAGTTCAGTTTGACACTACAGCTCTACACAAAAAGTTACGGCAAAAGGGATGATTTTTCTTTCTCTTTTGTTAATTTTTTTTGGACGGTAATGTTCTTTTTGCACCATCGTACGGTGTTTATATATCCCAACTCTTTCGTTATGCCCGTGTCTTTAGTGACGTTTTGGATTTCAATAAGCGTAATCTATGTATTACTTGTAAATTATTAAGTAAAGGATTTAGTTACCACAAATTACTTTAAACCTTTACTAAATTCGTCCATAGCTACAAAGATTTAGTTTGCAAGTTTGGTTGAACCTGTAAAAATTTATTTTAGACGGAATAGCACATCCTAAATTTTACGGTGATGTTGTTAACCGAGCCCGGAAATTTATATACGATCCTTTAAATAAACTTATTATAAAAAGTTACCATTTCAGCACTGTAATTAAATCTTTGAATATTGTTTTATTGGTATAAATATTGAATTCGTTATCAGTAAATTAAAATCATACTAAATAGTTTTGTTATCAGATATGCACTTTAACGGTTCTACAATCTGTCGATACCTTTATTTTGGTATTGCACAAGGTCATGTTTTTCTCTGACAGTTAATGACGTCTTTACACTAAATCCATTCGATGTTTGATGTGTACTGATTGATATTTTAGTCTTAGATATATGATGTTGTTTACAAGTTTTTATTGGCTTTGAACTAGCTGTCAGTAATTGCGAGTACTCTCAGATCTGGTCGTATTGTCCATTTTGTTGTTAGTGATGGTGGATGGATAAATACCCTGCCACGTCCGGTCTATGTTTATGTTTGGTGTTTTTTCTGCCTCGTATCGATCTGATGAGTTCAGCTTTTTTCGACTGACTTTTATAGTTTGTGCGTATGTTGTGCTGTTACACCACTGTCACAGGTTAGGCGGAAGGTTGAGCGCTCATAAACATGTTTAACCCCGCCACATTCTTTATGTGTCTGTCCCAAGTCAGGAGCCTGTAATTCAATGGTTGTCGTTATTTCATGTCTGTCATATTTGTTTTTCGTAAATTGTTTTGTTATAAATAAGGCCGTTAGTTTTCTCTATTGAATTGTTTCATACTTTTCCTGTCGAGGCCTTTTATAGTCGACTTTACGGTATGGGTTTTTTTCTCATTGTTGAAGGCCGTACCGTACGTACGGTTTGTCTGTAATTGCTTACATCCACTTCATTTAAACTTTAGTGGAAGGTTGTCTGATTGACAATCATACATCATCTCCTTATTTTTATAAAGAGGAGAAGCAGCAGAACAAAATAGAGAGCCGTGGATTTAGTGTTCTCATTCCAAACGGACGTGGGTGCGTATATATACATCCAGCACAGCTAAACAGACACAAGCGAAAGAAGATAGCCGAATTTTTTTATGTTTTAAAGTTGTAAAGCCTAGGATAAAAAATTTCCAGAGTAAAGAACATATGCAAGAACTACTAGTTAACTACTGTGACTCAAAAGTTTGAGTATCCAAAACAAAAAAAGTCAGAAAAAGAGAAAACAAAATAAAAGACTTTCAATTGACAAATAAAGAGGGGGAACAGATACCATATTTAAACAAAAAAAATCTTAATTTTCAAACGGAATTCAACATTTCACAATTTTTTAAGCCTGTCCCCTTTTACCTTATGCACATCTAAAAGGTTTGTTTTGAACACATTTTTAATGTTTTTACGACAGTTTTAAATCTTTAATTATTCATCATATTTCGAAATTTTGATACGCTCCCTCTATTTTTTTAGTCAGCGTATAAGTATCATGTTAAAAAAAATTAGAAAAGAAAAAAAAAAGTCATTATCAACAAACAAAGGACAAAGGGAAACAGATGCCATATTTAAAAAAAAATTAAACGTAAAAGGAATCAACTATTTCACAATTTTCAACGCCTCTATTTTCCCTTATGCACATCCAAAATCATAAATCATTGAATTTCTTCATATTTTGACATTATGATACGTGTTCAATTTGATCCTCATTGACAATTGTCAATTTTCTGCCGGAGACCGTTTTTCTCTTCGAATACTTCGGCTTCTTTTGCCGATTCAAACTAACTGTTATGATAAAACCAAGGTGGCTTGGAATACCACCATGAGCAAAACAAACAAATTGTGATGCACATTTATTAATTTCTACAAAAGTTATTCTTCGATACAAGAATTAAAAAAAAATACAGGCTTGCTTCAAAAGTGTCCTCGACATCAATGCTAAAGAACAAATATATTCATATAACCATTCATTCATATATAAAAATTATATATATAAAACGTCTAGATTAAAATTATATATATATATATATACATACAAACTGTAAAAATCGTTCTTTGAAAATAAACAGTGACACTTGTATTACATGTTTAGTTCTAAACATATTTAGGATTACGTTTAATATCTAAACACACAAACCGTACACATATCTTGAATGTAAACACTGTGGAGTGTGTTTTAGAATTAAAATGTTCATGACTAAAACAATAATTCCTAAGCTAAACACGAACCTTAACACAATCATAAACACTTATTCAACCTAAATATGTTGAGAAATGAGACATGCTCAGACCTAAAAAAAAAAGGTGCACTAAAAAGATGTGTTTAGGATTGTGTTTAGGATCTAAACACCATTTTTATAGTGTTGATAATCGTCTGGTGTTATTGATTAGGTGATTAGCCATATAAGTTAAAACGATTAAAAAAGTATACATTTTGGGGTAATACTTTCAAAAAGTACACCAAAACATCGCGATTGGTTAAAAACGTCCTAAACAATTGAACCTCAACTAATGGTGTGACGTTATTTTAACAAAGATCGGTAATAGTTAATGAGTAATCGAATTATAATATATTAAACAACTATGCTAACAACAGGGTAACAATTTAAAAAAAATGTAATTTCTTTGTTCTGTCTTAGCACCTTGCTGTTACATTTACATTATAGTTGTCATCGTTGTACTCCTCAATGTGGTCATGAATACAATCTACATATAGCTTGTCACACATGCACACATCCCAATCACAGGAACCAGCTTCGTCTGAAATAAAAAAAAAGCTAAGCTAGAGAAAAAAAAAACGCCCAGTGCTCAAAAATTTTCAAACAGCTTTCCTACATTTCAACGCTTTTAGGTGGAATTCGTTTGCTTAAAAATTAATCAATTTAAAACTTTAATAAGCTCATTGAATATTTTTTTTATCGGTCCTTACATTTTTTTTTATAACATAAATAATCTAGATATGTATTGCTTTACAGTTAAGGACAATATGTGGACCAACATCGGGTCTATGATAGAATTTTTTTTTTACATTTCGCAAGGTCATGCGTTTTTAACCTTGACTGTTTATTTGGTCTATAAACTAAATCCGTTGGATACTGATTGGTTTTTTGAAAATAATTTATTCATTAGTTGTGATTGGCTTTCAACTAACTTTAAGTAACTGCAAATACTCTTAGATTGGTACTTTGTGTATTTTGTTAATTTGTCTTTTTCTTAGTTTGTTTTTTTTTTTTTTGTGGTTCGTGCTCATCTGATTAATTTTTAGGAAATTATTTTTCCAATGTTTTGTTTCTGTCATGCCATTAATGACATCCATTATATAGTAGTGTTGTTGTAGCGAAACTCTAGACATGTTAAACTAAGGACTTTTCAATTGGTATTTGCTGCTTTGCCACAAATTAATACGTATATAGGAGTTAGAGAAAATTCTAGTTTCCTTAGAAGCAGAATTATTTATGTGGGTATGGTGGTAAAAGTTCATGCATACTGTTACATTATGATTGATCTAGTACGTTTAGAATCCAACTGAGTGTGTCGGAGGGCTTGGTGGCCGAGTGGTGTAAGTAGTTCAACTACTGTATCACATGCCTAGATAAGGATTGTCAGTTTTCGAAAGTCGGTGGTTTTCTCCAGGCACTCCGGGTTCCTCAACCAATAAAAACTGACCGCCATTATTTAGCCAATAGTACTGAAAGTGGCGGTAAACACCAACAATCAATCAATCAGTATGTCGGTTTAGTACAAAGCTATGTAACATATCGCGTTATCACGATTATGTGTGATATTTGTTACTGGACGATAAGTAGTCAATAATCAATCAAGCAAACAAGCAACACATGATACTTGGTTTTTATTTGTTTTGTGTCGTATCAATTTTTCAAACCAAACATCAAGCAAGGGTGACAACACAGAGGTACAAACAGGCCAATAAAGTAAACATGACATATAGTTTCAAACTCCTTTCGAAAGAGGAAAGCCATTTTTTACCTAGCAAATGTTATACACATTGTACTCATCAGCATTTTAAAACAAATTAACAACTTGAACTGTGAGCAAAGTAACTCATAGTGTAATGATACCCTGGTACAGTATAAGTATTTGGTTAACAGGAAATTGATGTGCAATGAATGTGAAAAACGCATCACACGGTATAACATGCTAAAAGGAATATTAACATCGAACTTTAGGATGGTCTGTTTCGTAGTTCTTGAGAGAGAGAGAAAAACGACGACAATTTCATACATAGCAATTATGTGAAGGAATATACAAGTATTCAGTAAATAGTAAGTCGATAAAAGATGAATATTAAAACGCATCATACAGTATATCCTGAAGCCTGATACCGAATTCAGGACTCCCATACAATCATGTATTTGTATTTTCAAAGCAAATGCGACGTAAGTATCAGCATGTGTGAACATAAACAGGTATCCAGTAAACAGAAAATTGATGAATAATGAACACTAAAACGCATATCGCAGTGTATCAAGGCTGATATGCCAAGTTCCAGGACGTTCTAATTAGTAGTTAGTGAGAAAAATTACATGAGATGGACGGACGGACATACAGTGGTAAAACAGTATACCACCTCCTCCTTCCTTTGGAGAAAAGGTATGCTGATTTGGATAAACAAATTTAACATAACAATTTTCGTAATTATAAATGTAGATGTACCCTAAAGAGTCCAAAATAATTAATATTTAAATGATTTTCTGGAAATTTTGGGGTTTATTTTTTTTATCTTAGACAATCAAAAGCCTACAAGCAATTGAGCGCTTAGCAGGGAAAAAACACATCATTGACCTTATAAGTTAGTGATTTGAATATTGAAGGCTGTGTTGCCTCGTTTCATCAGAATTCTCTATATGATCATTAAAAAAAAGAATATGTAATTCATCACACTATTTATACCTGTACATTCCACTATCTTGTCAGAAATAATGTAATCATAACCAGTCCATTTAGGATGCCACCAGCATTTGCCTTCAGCTTCAACATTACCATAGCAATTATCATGTACTTGACAACAACTGCAAGTAAAACAAATAGCATAGTACTGTTACAGATAAGTTATATTTAGCTCTACAATTCATTAATTTAAACAAAACAAAAAATAAACCTAGGTAGAACTGTTTTAGACGACTAATGCCTATGTGTCCACTTTCATATATATATATATATATATATATATAAAAATTGCGGTTTTTACCCAACGCAATCATAGGTTTGAACGTTGTTTTCAATTTAGACTTGTTTATATTTTTTCGTTTGGGCTTGTATTATATTTGCCTTCGGGTTTATATGATCCGTTCATCCTATTTTGACTCCTCAAAATTCAAGAGTCTATCCTAAATTGAGGTAAATTGTATGGCTTTCCAAATACCGTTTCGATCCCTAACATCACTGAAGAGACATTAATTGTCGAAATCCGGATATGGTGTACAAAAACCTTTGCACCTTTTGTTTGCGGTATACCATCTTTTACGCAAGTTTATTGTTTTCTGTTTAGTATTAAATTTATAATTAAGATCCATTTATTATATCGGTGATCCGTTTATTTGGCAATCGCCAATGGCAGTCAGCAGGGTTTAAGAACATTTGTTGTTCGACCTGTTAGTCAAATGCGTTTTGTTAAAATATACTTTTTCACTTTTTTGGTCTTTTGGAAAATATTGTTTGTGCTGTATTAAGACCCCTCTAACAAGAAATTTGTTTTGCATGCACACGTATAAAAATTGCGGTTTTTACCCAATGCAATCATAGGTTTGAACGTTGTTTTCAATTTAGACTTGTATATATATATATAGTCTGAATAATAGTCAACGATTTTTCCCACGAGGGATATATATATATATATATAGTCTGAATAATAGTCAACGATTTTTCCCACGAGGGATATATATATATATATAGTCTGAATAATAGTCAACGATTTTTCCCACGAGGGCGCTGGATCGTTACGAGTAACGATACACGTACACAATAAATAATTATATAAACGCCTAAAAAGTGTACACAACAACACCAATAACAAAAAAAGGAACTATAAATGTAATTATTTATAAATATTTCGGATAACAGATATCCTTCATCAGTAAATATGATTGGGATGTTGAATGAATCATATATCAGTCTACTTAGATTAAACTATACCAATCTTGAAATTTATACAATAAAAATGTCAAACCGAACATCAGGTAAGACGCTTGCACAATTCTAAATATGTGTTAAACACGACATAGGTTGTATGACTAATTACAACAGAGAGTTCAAATATATGCTTTAAATAAAAATAATAATGTGCGATATGAACTAGCAAAATTCTAAAGCTTTAACGGTTACGACAGTTATGATGTTACAAGAACGATTGCGTCAATAAGAATTCCAAATAAACAGCACTGAACGATCTAAATTTGTAAATATTCCAAATTTGACAACGGTAGAGTAGTTGAAACAGAGTCTGCGTATTTAAACATCGCAAACAAACGGCCGTTAAAATATAATAATAAATTTTGACTAAGGTTAATTAGTTGAACGTGGCTTGGTACTTTTACATCCCTCAAAAAATTAAGCAATTTAAATTGGTATATTCAACAGATTTATTTTAGAGATGAGTAAGGTAAAGAAATAGAAACAGAGACTGTAATAAAAAGTAATATAACCCAAATGTGAAGCACTGCATGGAGTCGAACAACATCTTTTCATTTATCCCATTTGGTGCCAAAGTTGTTAATTTTCTTATCCAAAATCTTTCCCGAGTGAGTCTATCCTCCCTAGACCAAGCAGAGTTGTGGTCAATGATTGTAATGGTCAGTCGATTGAGATCTGCCTTAGTGTGGCCAGGGGATCTCAAATGTCGACTGAGAGGGAGGTCTGGCTTGCATTGGTAGTCGCTACGATGACCGTTCGTTCGTTTTTGAAACGGCTGTTCTGACTCGCCAACATACTGTTTACCACATTTACACTGTAGGAGATACACAACATTTGTAGTCTTGCAATTAACATTGCAAAATATGGTGTATTCTGTACCAAAGGAGTGACTGTTAAAAGTCTGGGTAACCAGTATTTGTTTGCAAGTCAGACATCGTTTGTTTCCGCAACCCTTGCAAGAGCCCACAGACGACCATCGTAGCGACTACCAATGCAAGCCAGACCTCCCTCTCAGTCGACATTTGAGATCCCCTGGCCACACTAAGGCAGATCGCAATCGACTGACCATTACATTCATTGACCAATCTAGGGAGGATAGACTCACTCGGGAAAGATTTTGGATAAGAAAATTAACAACTTTGGCACCAAATGGGATAAATGAAAAGATGGTAGTTCGACTCCATGCAGTCCTTCACATTTGGGTTATATAACTTTTTATTACAGTCTCTGTTTCTATTTCTTTACCTTACTCATCTCTAAAATAAATCTGTTGAATATACCAATTTAAATTGCTTAATTTTTTTGAGGGATGTAAAAGTACCAAGCCACGTTCAACTAGTTAACCTTAGTCAAAATTTATTATTATATTTTAATTTTGTTTTAACAGAACTTTTAAAAAATCGAAAAAGAACTTATGTCAATAAATAAACAAATCACCAGTTTCATCAAAATTGTTCAAAGCATTTTTGAGTAATCGTCAGGAAACTGAAAAATCCCCCATTTTTTATGAATAAAATCCCATAACTCGGAAACGTAAAATCAAAAGGGAGCCTACGTCAATAGATATAAACAATTCACCAAAGTTTCATGAAAATTGGTTAAAGCTTTTTTTTAGTTTTGTGCGACATATTGACGACGGATGCACGGACGGACGGACGGACGGACAATGGTATACCATAATACGTCCCATAAAAAAACTATGTCAAAGAATAACAACGTTTTATTCCGCACCCAAAATGTCCCAAAACATCGTTTATTTTTATCCTGAGGCTAAAGTCACATGAAGGTCATGATGTGGCACGTCAACCTAATGGTAGTTCACCTCCCTGCAGTATACTATAATTCAATGTCAAAAGATTGAATAGCTATGAACCGGAAAATGCTGTACATTAATGAGAACAGGAGAAAAAAAAAATACTACTAAAACATAATATCTCTCGTCTTTGTTTTTTTTTTCTCTGTTAAAAAACTCATATTCGATTACCAACCCAACTGAATAAAAGAAATTAATCCCACTCAGCGATTTGGCAACTTCAAATTATGACAGATCTAAGATTTTGTCTTAAAACTTTTTGTAAGGTTTGATTATATTTGTTGACAAACATTTACCCAAATGCTCATTATCAACATTGATTAAATCTATTATTCATATGGGTAAGTTCTATGAATTTATAATTTAGTGAAAGTTTCCACACATTGTGATGGCCTGGTTTGACAGAGGTATTTTGGATTTTTTTATTGCATAGTTTATATTTACGGAACCCTGCTGGTCGCCTACATAGTAAGAGTTACGTTTTTTTTTTAATCTACCATTAGAGATCTAAATGTCAGCGCTGTACTGATTGATTGTTGTCTGTTGAACGTTCAGTTGCAAATATTTCGTGCATATTAAGGAAGAAAACACATTAAAAATGAATACAAAAGATAGGTTCTGCTTAGTTGATCGACACAGAGAAAATAATGTATGCTGGATAGGGGCAGACATAGGGACAGATGCTTCAATTAAACAACATGCAGAACCCTCAAAAGTCACACGAGCCCTTGGATTACATTTTTCGTATTCAGATTCGTTATGGCTGCGTACTTAGAAATCCCGCATAGCATGTATTTTACCGCTTGATAAGAAAACTCCAGACCTGGTCACCATACTTTTAATATACTTGATATTCCAGTACTAGAGATTTAAAATCCAGTGTTGAAGATGGATATGACATTATACAAACAATGTGTAACATATTTGGATATCTTGAATGTGCAGGTTTTATTTTAAATTTGTTATTGTTCTACTAACCTGTCAATATTGTCAACTGGTATACCATAACCATGGTATCCACAATAACAGCCATAGTCTAGAACGCTAGCTGATATACCCAATCCAAAAATGTCAATCATCTGGTACGATAAATTCCACCAAGCCTTCTTAGTGATAGTACCCCGTCTTTCTGAAATAAGTAATATATTGACACTATTTTTAAACATGCAATTCAATTCGCAGTTTCAAAATCGTAAGTGCTTTGGACATTTTCTGTGTTCTTAAATCATCACGTCATTGTTTGAATTTAATTGTTTTTGGCGTTATTAGCAATTTATAATTGAATTATCATTGATTAGACCACCTGTCCAACATTTTTAGACAATTACTACTTGTGTTTGATTTTATACTGCAACTGGAACACTTCCTGTTTTCTTTATCTACCATATATTGTTACAACTTAATATTCCGTGTCACGTCACTTATCTTCACCATTTTGGGTTATTTAGGGATGACAAATAAGTTTTATTTTTGTGTTAACATTTTCATCGCAACAAGACTTAGTTTAGCTATTTTTGGCTGCAGTATAATAACCATTTTACACAAAATGTAGATTAATATCAGAAAAGTATCATCTTTTCCATATTCGGTACTAAACTGTTAAAGAGCTGGGTAAACCTCGCCCTTCCCAAGTTTTTAATCCTAAAACAAAAGCTGATATTTTTCTGACTTTGACCTAAATTACCTTGAAACATGATAGTGTCGAAAACACCTTCAAACTGATCTCCGATAAGAATGTATACATAAGAAGGCATAGATGAACACGGTATATTTAAAAGTTTATACAAAGAGAAAATTACAGAATTTTTTTAGCCAATTCCTCTGGCGTTTTTTTTTTTTTTTTTTTTTTTATTCTACTTCAGATAAATGTATTTCTAGAACCAATTTACAACGATACATAGAAGGTTACAATACCTGCAATGCTGAAGTTCATTCTTGCATCAGTTTTGTTTTTTAATCCCTAAGTTTTTGTTGCCGTTTTTTTTTTTTTTTTTTTTTTGTAAAAAGTATTGACTAAACCACAATTTCTATGCACTCACACTTAAACGTCCCTTTAATACTATAAAAAAAAAAGCAATCAAATTTTATAGGTTTGTTCAAATATTAAAAAACGGAAAACTCGAGTGAAATGATTTTAAATTTTTTCTTTTTTCGACTGAATTTGCACGCTTTTCAGCAAAATACCATCAGGAGAGTTCGATAGCAAATTTGATGTCACGTCTGTTGGCTTCTAAAATACAATATAAGATAAATATCAGAAAAATATTAAGTTTATTTTTGTTTCAGGCGAAGAAATTGGGGGAAAGGCGAGGTTTATTGAGGGTTTCTGACATTGACCTACTATTGTTTTTATAATGCAGCTTAATATTGCTACAATTATAATAAAGAAAATGTTAACATCAAAATAAAACTTATTTTCTATCCCTAAAGGAACCCAAAATTGTGACGAAACACTGACGTGACAATGCACAAAATATCTATTTGGTAGATAAACTGATAAAGACAACAGGAATTGTTCTAGATGCATAAATCTATATATAAAGCAAGACGTCATCACATATTGAAAGACAGTGGTTGGTTATCATGTTTAACTTGTTTAATACTAATGCCCAAGTTCAAGTGACAGTATGTGAAAATACATAAACGGAATATTTTATTAACTGGGGTTTCTGAAGGAAAACTTCAGTTATTAATTTGGTGAAGTACGGCGGGCGGGCGGCTGTCGACACTTTACGTTCAATAACTTATGAACCGTTCAACCAATGCTTTTCAGAGTTTAACATGTTGCTACTAATGACAACATGGAGGTCAAGTTTGATATTGACGATTTTCTTTTTTAACGTTCAGGGGTTACGGTCATTGGTATATTGGAAAATGGCACTATATGTCGTTTCCGTTCAATTACTTATGAAACCTTCTACCAATGGTTTTCAAATTATAATATGGTATAACAGATGACGAAATTGAGGTCAAGTTCAATACTAATGAATTTCACTATACCGTTCAGGAGTTATGGTCCTTAATCTATTGGAATATGGCACTTTATGTCGTTATCTTGAAACTACGTATGAATCACTTGACCATAGCTTTGAAATTTAAATATGTTGTTACTGATGAAAAAATTGAGAGCAAGCTTGATGTTGATTATTTACGCTTTTTGCCGACCAGGAGTTATGGTCCTTGATAGATTTGAAATTTGTACTTGATGTCGTTTCCCTGCACCTACTGATGAACCAACAGAATGTGGCAGGTCAAAAACCTGAAAGCGCTTTTCAAAATACAGAAACCCACTTCCTGTTAATTTAACAGCTTATTCCTAGTTTTAATATATATATTCTTACTTTTCATGAGTATATACATTCGGTTTTAGTCATAAAATATAAAGTACAAGAAGCTTACGTGCTGGACATGCAGTCACAATGATGCACAAGAAGCATACCTGCTTTACTCAAAGTCACAATGAGGCACAATAAGCTTACATGCTGGACTTGAAGTCACAATTGGCACAATAAGCTTACATGATAAAGGTCACGCGTACGCGTACGCGTGAACAAGAAGTTTACCTGCTGGACCTAAAGTTACAATCATGCACAAGAAGCTTACCTGCCAGACCTGAAGTCACAATCATGCACAAGAAGCTAACCTTCTGGACCTGAACTCACAATCATGCACAAGAAGCTTACCTGCTAGACCTGAATCACAATCATGCAATAGAAGCTTACCTGCTGGACCTGAAATCACAATCATGCACAAGAAGCTTACCTTCTGGACCTGAAGTTACAATCAATCACAAGAAGCTTGCCTGCTGGACCTGAAGTGACAAGAATGCACAAGAAGCTTGTCTGCCAGACTTGAAGTCACAATCAAGCACAAGAAGCTTACCTGCTGCACCTTAAGTCACAATCATGCACAAAAAGCTTGTCTGCTAGACCTGAAGTCACAATCATGCAATAGAAACTTACCTGCTGGACCTGAAGTCACAATCATGCACAAGAAGCTTACCTTCTGGACCTGAAGTTACAATCAAGCACAAGAAGCTTGCCTGCTGGACCTGACGTCACTATCATGCACAAGAAGCTTACCTGCTATACCTGAAGTCACAATCATGCAATAGAAGCTTACCTGCTGGATCTGAAGTCACAATCATGCACAAGAAGCTTACCTTCTGGACCTGAAGTTACAATCAAGCACAAGAAGCTTGCCTGAAGGACCTGAAGTCACAAAAATGCACAAGAAGCTGGTCTGCCAGACTTGAAGTCACAATCAAGCACAAGAAGCTTACCTGCTGCACCTTAAGTCACAATCATGCACAAAAAGCTTGACTGCAGGACCTGAAGTCATAACCAAGCACAAGAAGCTTGTCTGCTGCAACTAAAGTCACAATCATTCACACGAAGCTTACCTGGTGGACCTGAAGTCACAATCATGCACAAGAAACTAACCTGCTGGACCTGAAGTCACAATCATTCACAAGAAGCTTACTTTCTGGACCTGAAGTCACAATCATGCACAAGAAGCTTAATTGCTGGACTTGAAGTCACAATCATATACACGAAGCTTACCTGCTGGACGTGAAGTCACAATCATGCACAAGAAGCTTACCTGCTTCACCTGAAGTCACAATCATTCACAAGAAGCTTACTTGCTGGACCTGAAGTCACAATCATGCACAAGAAGCTTACCTGCTGGACCTGAAGTCACAATCATGCACAAGAAGCTTACCTGCTGGACTTGAAGTCACAATCATGCACAATACACATGCAGCAACATACTAAAATGCAAAGCATTAACAAAAATTGCAAATTACTCATATGAACATATAAAAACCCAGAGATTGAATTACAGTGTTACATTCTGAACGAAATGTTACCATTTAAAAAATCAATTATTATGTTTAGTACAAATTACGAGAGAGAATAACAAGACAAAGAAACAAATTAGAAAGGAGACAAGTCTCGCTACCTGGTAATATATCCTTCCTTGCATGAATCTATTTTGCGCATTGAAGTCATTTATGAAATTAAGGCGGTTGTTGAATTAAAGAAGCGGCAAAGGAAATGCCACTGGTTTGATTAACACAATTCATTGATAATAAAATCTGTTTTATTTGAATAATGTAAAGAATAATAAAGTACTAGGTATATTTTGTACTTACACGCAAGAGAACCATGTTTCAGACTAAAAAAGAAGAGAAATGAACTTCAACAAATTATTAATTTTGTTTAAACTCGACGCGTACTTCTGTGGTGTCATTTTTTATTTTTTTATTTTTTTATATAATATATAAATTTTATCATAAATATTGGCTGTTGGCTTGATTGTTCTAGATTGGCTTCTTAAAATTGGCTGCCAGCTTGTGTCCGGTGAAAATATTGTATAATTTTTTTTTCCAAATGCTTGTTGTCAATAGAGCATTATATGAATATGAAAAATATGGAGATATTAATTGATATAGTTCAGCAATAATATTAATGTTTGGTGTGAATATGTTCACTCTTTTATCATTTCAAGTATTCTAACACCGCGATTATGTATGATCAACCGTAATGCTTACGTTTAGTTTAATGTTTTTTTTGTATTATTGTACGGGTACACATGTAACTGAACAGTCATATATATGATGCATGAAATGCTGTAAAATTTGTGGGATAGCAAGGGCTCTGGGCTCCGTGCTTCATCCAACTTTTTTCGTTGGGATCTAGACTTTGAATTAAGGGCTACAGGCTTCAATAAGCAATGTTTTTGTGCTCCGGGCTATTCTGAATGCTACATATTAGGAAAGTACAGAAAGGATGTTGCATCAAGAGAGGCGAAAGATACCATAGGGACATTCAAACTCATAGTCGGAAATAAACTGACAACTCCATGACAAATAAAGAAAAAGACCAACAGACAAACAACAGTACACTAAACACAACATAGAAAACTAGACTGAGCCACACGACCTCCACCAAAACCGGGGGTGATCTCACTTGCTCCGGAAGAGTAATCATGTCCTGATGCACATGTGACACGTGAGCTTCGGGCTGCAACGTAACTGTGGAGAAAATACTATAACCCCAGTTTAAACGTTTGAGTGACATATGTTACATGCATAGCAAGGACGATAACATGTTGATTTATTATGAATGACGTGTAATTTCAAAAACAGGATAATTTGTGGTAGATTTTTGTTATTTTTGCATTTAACTCCGCCCAAGCCGTTGCTAGGGGCCGTCTTCAACTTGTCGCGAGATAAGAGTTTTTTTTGGCTCCGACTTAAAGGCCTCACTGTGACTTTGAGATGAAGAACAGTAATAAAAGAGCTGTGACTTTGATTTGTGTGTGTGTGTTGTTTTTTTTCTTTTGTTTTTTTGCTGTGTATGTACTGATTTTGTGTTTTGTGTCATGAATGGATACCCCATATCCTTTGTTTTTTCTATTGTATAAGAAAAGTAAAACATCAGACGTACGGTAAAAGCAAAACTATAAATCAATATCATATAACAATTAAACAAAGTAACACATGTAAATTTAAAATATATTAACAACGGCACAGTCCACTGCAAAGTCTAAAACATTGACGACACTATGTCCATATTAAATCGTTTGGAAATCTTCATAGTCCATTTCGTATAAAAAGTCGTTTTTTAAACCAATGTTTAAATGAATGACAGCAATTGATTAACATAGATATCTGATCTTATAAGTTAGACAACCGCCTCGGTGGTCTCGTTGTAGCGTGTTCGCATCGAGTGCAAGAGATCGTGGGTTCGAACCCCGGCTGGGTCATACGAAATACTTTAAAATTGGTATTTACTGTCTCTCTGCTAAGCACGCAGCATTAAGGAGGAGGAGCAAAGACTCGTCGGCTCGGAGTCAGAATAATGTGTCCGGGTAAGGTGACACGTCTTCCTGTGAACTGTTACCTTGTGAACTTGCACGTCAAAAATCCGGATCAGTGTGTCGGTTTAGTACAAAGCAGGGTTAATATTCATATAACATTAACATGTTCTCGTCCTGAATATGCATATTAATTTGCCGCTGGACGTTAAGGTGCCATCCTTTATCATTATAAGTTGGACTATTTTTACGTACTAAGCTTAAGACAACTTTTGAAAAAATGTATTTACTCTTAAACGTTTTTTTTTTTTTTTTTGGGGGGGGGGGGGGGGCCAAATTGAACTTCAAATGAATTACAACGTATGAATTTTAGAAAATAATGACAATTTTTTAAATGTAACACCATAACAACTTACCGAATAATTATGAAATAAAGCCCACAAAATGTACAGCATGACACGATTATGAACCATGCAATGTACAAGACCGAAATGCTGAACCGCATTTTCATCATGATTTCACCAGGTACATTGTAACAGTATACAGGAAGACATATCACCTCATTCGGACACATTTGCTCATTGTTGAAGGCCGTGCGGTGACCTATAGTTTTTAATTTCTGTGTCATTTTGGTCTCTTGTGGAGAGCTGTCTCGTTGGCAATTATACCACATCTTCTTATTTTTATATATAACTCTGACTCACAGCCGACAAGTCATTACTCGTAAATATCGCGTGTTTAGCGGAGAACCAGAATATACCAGTTTTGAAGTCTTTGTTTTGATCCGACCGGAAAACAAACTCACGACCTTGAGCACTCCAGGTGAGCTCACTATTACAAAATGCCATGCGCAGAGCGGAGAAGCAGTAAATACATTTTTGAAATTCCTGTTTTGACCTGATCGGACGAACTCATGAACTCCATGTAAGCACGCTACCATATAATAAGATCGCTGAAAAGGTTTTATTCCGAAAGACTTCGCGTTATCGATAAAAAAAAAAAAAACGTTGTGCTATTGTTGCCAAAATTTTTGTTTTAAAAGTGATAAAAAAATAATCCACAACATTAAACTATAAACCAACTTAATAAATACGAGAAGTTAAGGAAACTCCTTTTACGTAAATTCGACCGAGGATTTTTTTCATATTTGACCGATATTTTGTTTTTTGACAAGGCTGAAGTTCGTTGACTCACTATTCAGTATTCACTTTTCACTATTCAAAATTCTTGAATAGTGAACTGTGTTTTGTTTTCACTATTCACTATTCAAGTTTATTCAAATCGAATAATTTTTATATCGACTTGTTCTGTTTTGTGTAATAATTGTGTTAACCCTTGAATCCCCAAATTGCGTGTTTATCCTATATATTATTAGAAAGCTTATAGACTGGGCATCAAAAGCTATGTAGTGAATATAGTGCACAGATCCGGTTTAAGGGGATGTATTTTTTAACTACCAAGCACGTTTCGATCGAGTTTTGGATCCTTGAATCCCCTAATTTCAGGTATATCCTATATATCCCAAGAAAGCTTATAGACTGGGCAACAGAAGCTAAGTAGTGAATATAGTACACAGATCCAGTTTAAGTCGTTATGTAACGCTCGAATACCGAAAACAGTCGACCTAAGAAAAAAGACATCACCATACACGTGCACGTATCGATCGAGTTTTGAACACTTGAATCCCCTACTTACGGGTACATGTATATCCTATATATCATAAGAAATATTATAGACTGGGCAGCAACAGCTAGTTTTAGAGGTTATGGAGCGCCCGAATACCAAAAACGACCGAAACTATGAAAAAAAAATTCACCAAACATATTTTGATCGACTGTCGGACCCTTGAATCCCCTAATTACAGGTATATCCTATATATTATTAGAAAGCCTATATATTTGGGAACAAAACGTATAGAGTTTTGAACCTTGAACCCCCTAATTACAGGTATATCCTATATATTCTCAGAAAGCTTATAGACTAGACAACAAAAGCTACATATGGAGTGAATATAGTTCACAGATCCGATTAAAGGGGTTATGGAGCGCCCGAATACCGAAAACGGCCGAACCTAAGAAAAAATACACCACCATGCACGTTTCGGTCGAGTTTTGAACCCTTGAATGCCCTAATTACAGGTATATCCTATATATCTTAAGAAAGCTTATAGACTGGGCAGTAAGAGCTTTGCAGTGAATATAGTGCACAGATCCGATTAAATAGGTTATGGAGCGCCCGAATACCGACAACGGCCGAACCTAAGAAAAAATGCATCCCCTTAAACCGGATCTGTGCACTATATTCACTACATAGCTTTTGTTGCCCAGTCTATAAGCTTTCTTATGATATATAGGATATACCTGTAATTAAGGGATTCAAGGGTTCAAAACTCAATCGAAACTTGCATGCTGGTGTCTTTTTTCTTAGGTTCGGTCGTTTTCGGTATTCGGGCGCTCCATAACACAGATCTCCTGTTTGTTAGTGATATTATTAGACTAGAAAACATCCTAGTATTTTATACGAAACTTTCACTACTTCTGTTTATTACTTCTTAGCCTTTCTTATATTTCTATGTTTTCATGTATAAAATGTTAATATATTTAATTTGTAATTGCGATTGAGAAAAAAATTATTGGCACTTTGAGACATAATAATTCGTTTGCCCTCCCCTGACACAAGGTATACCGTTTAGCCGTCGGATCTAATTAAGTGTGGACATCCCGATAGAGGAATGATAGCGGAAACGAATTCTCACTTTAATGAATCAAAGTTGGACCCTCCTCCCCTCCCACAAATCTGAAAAATACGTAACAAATTAAGTGCGACAGTTGTACCGTAAGCTTCTAGATATGCATAAAATGTATAATGTATCATTGACCGAAGTGGATATTATATGCAATCGATAAAAATGAAGTGCAATTTTAAGTCAAAAATAAATAATTTTAGATGAAAGGGGGAGGGCAAAAAAAAAATATCCTGTCTCTTTATACCTTAATACTATAATACTAGGCCTCAACGTTTTCAGCTGATAAAATTTGAATCGAATTAAACCAATTATTACACAAACTGATAAGTTATTCGATTCGAATAAACTTGAATAGTGAATAATGGAAAAAAACACAGTTCACTATTCATGAATTTTGAATAGTGAAAAGTGAATAGTGAACGTACTTCCTCCCGGTTGTTTTTGTTGTTTTCAAGATAATACTTAATTTCTTTGCACAATAATGGACAAGAAAGGATATGGCGTATCCGTCCATGTCACAAAATCAGTAACAATGTTTGGTTTAAATTGATTTAGTTTAAAAGACCTTTAAAAAGTTTACTTTGGACGACGAAAGAGGTTTAATTTCCTTGTTTGTCAGAATCAGAATATATTACACAGATAGAGATAGATGGTAAAGGCTAACCCGAACAACACACCTATCTTTTTAACATAACATTTCCATATAAACCACCGTACAAAAATGTATCTGCTTCTTCCGTCAACCAAGGGAAAGGGGGGGGGGGGGGGGGGGGTCAAATGAAAATCTTTCCCTCATTATTGATTATTGAACATTAGAAAAATTAGTACTTTCAACATCTTATTGATAATTACCTTTTATGATAACACCTATTATTTTCCTTATATAATTTATTTGTAAAATTAAAATTAGTAATTGCAACATCGTATAGTGACAATTACCTTTTATGATGACACATACAAATTTCCTTGAATTATTATATATTAGTAAAATTAGTAATTGCAACATCTTAGTGATAATTACCTTTTATGATGACAACTATTAATTTCCTTACTATTTGAAATGAAGAAGCAAAAAAAAAAATTTTGCATTACCCCCTTTGAAACAATTTGAAAATTTGAAATTATAAAACCTGAGCCGAAGATCAAGTGTTTAAAGTATTTTAAGATGTATTTAAAAGATAATAGGTTAACCGCATGATATCAAATATGACCTGCTTTGCATTTACGTTATTTATTTAATATATATATATTTGTCACTCATGCATAATTTAAAATTATTTTTCATTTAAAAGTATTAATAATGTTGTTTTTACGAAACTTCATCGTATGTTCAACTTTTTACTTTAAAAGAATTTAATGTTCGATTCGGTTCTTTAGCAAAACTTCATTGGGGGTTCAACTTTTTACCTTAACAGACTTTTATGTTTGATTCGGTTCTTTCACGAAATTACCTTTACCGTGCGTTCAACTTTTGAATTCACAAGAAATTTACGTTCGTACTTATTGATACAGGGTTTATACTTATTGAAACTACTGCGTAGATATATTCAACGTTGTAATTTTTTTATATATATAAAATCACATTTGAAAAACATATTTATTTATTTTTTCATTCCACAAAGAAGGATGAAAGTAAAATAATCTGCATATTAACATAATTAAATTTCTGAATTTTGAATTTGTATGCCATTAATGTTGTTGTCATCATGGTCATAATTATAAAAAAAACTTTCTAAGTAACAAAAAGCATATAGATAAAACATTAAACAACCACGGACGAGGTTCCGGAATCGAGACGGGCGCATGCTGATAAAATGTGGGATTAAACATCCTCTCTCCTGTTTGATTTTGGTCAATGGTTTAACAAACAGGTAAATTTTGTACATACGTTGCCAAATACTATAAAGGACCTTCACCACGGACGGCCTCTATTACATGACACACCTATTGTAGCTATTGATAATTAGCTCTCGTCCTGAACATGCATGAACTATTTGCCAGTGTATGTTAAGCAACCAACTATCAATCATTCAGAACAATACATGCACATACATGTATGTGCAATGCACGACAGATTTCAGTCTTACTGCATTAAACTATCAATAAGCAAATCATACCTCATCTCCTTATTTTTAAAAGGATGTTATTCGTAAAATACAAGATGCAATATTATAATTTGCAACAGACCAACATACTCCGTTAATCGAGTGTTATAAATGATCACTCCTTAAACTAAGTTATATAGATGTGTAACCCATTTCGGACATAATATAACAAAACTGACCTTCCCTGACCTTTTGTAAACATCGTAATGTTGCGAGCTTAGGGGATGAAAGGAAAACAAAGGCGAAAGATACAAAAAAAAAACAACATCAAACTCATAAGTCGAAAGTAAACTGACAACGCCATGACAAAAAAAAAAACACGAAAAAAAAAAACCAAAAAGACAAAAGTATAAAAAACACAACATAGAAAACAAAAGACTTTGCAACACGAACCTCACCAAAAACTAAGAGAACTTTCCAATTTAAAAGCATTTAGTTCGATGCAGCCATGTTTCGAACTCGTGTCCACCCGCAGAAGGAGTGAGCAACGAGACAACCAAGGCTGTTCCTGTTTAGTTATAGTGTTATAATGCAGCTGTAAAAGGATAGGAATACAATTTATTTTCTTCATTTTTTTTTTAAATTAAAAATTAACAAACTCAATAGTATATTCTATTATAATTAACATACCTATTATGTGACAGGACACTACTTGCTGCAATGGTTTATGGTTACGATCTGAGCGAGTTGGTTATTCTTCAGTTTTTAAATTTTTAAGTGAAAGTGCGTTCGTTTGATTTAATTCCCGCATCTTTATATCAAGATAAGACCTGCATAATTATGATATTTTTAATATTTTTATGAAACGAAAAGACATAACAGTGCAATCAAAATACAAATTTCTTATGAAATAAACAGGATCTGTGTAGGCGAATCTTCACGTATCAATAAACATAGGGGTAATATTCATAATTGTTTGCAATTAACACGAAAAATGCTATTAAGTAAAGTATTATTCAATAGAATTAACACCTGTAAACAACCATTTAAATCGTCATCCATCAGATTCACGTTATAAAATTAAATGATGATATGGATAAATTTAAAGTTCAGATACCTCAAGTAGACGAGTGATGTTCTTTATTTTGGACATTTATTAAAAGTACTTTGTCTCGTTTTACTATTTTTTTTTTTTTTTTAAATGAAATGCAATGTTTGAGTAGGAGTTCTGGTGTAGATTTAAAGTACAACACTTTTATTAAACCATGCAGGGGTCTACATCAACTCTGCGTGTATTCATTGTATGATTTGTTTATTTTTGTACAAATGTAATAAATATGATACAGAAAAGTTTCCGTTTTCAAGGTTTTGTTCAAATAGACACGTACTATCCGTAGGAGGTCTGGTTGTACTTTAAAATGCTTTAACTCAATAATTAGACTAATATTAACTTACAACAGTGAAATATTGTATATGGATATATATTAATCCTTTGATAAAACGTCAATTAGAAGAGATAAAACAAGTGGCTTTCTTTAAAAAAAGAAAAGCAACACGTGAACCAGAGACAGCTGACCGATCACCAAAAAAAATGTTTCTGAATTTTTTTTGGCTTTAGATTTGAAATAATTGACTAAATAGAATAAGGAACTGGTGATGTTAAAACACCTTTATTCAAAATGTGTAATTTTGTGTAGATTCTTACACAAGTCAATTAAACATGTTAAAAGCGATGTTGCATTTTAGTTGAAAATAGAAAAGTGTATACAGCTACTATATGAATTTACCTTTTAAGGCTTGACTATTTCATTTATTACTTGGAAGTGTACATCAGTTTTTCTTAGTGTTTAATATGTATACCGATTCCTAATCCTATTCCAATTCTTAGTTTCTGCAAACCGAATGTCTAATGCAAATTGCACAGATAAATCGCAATATAAATTTAACACAAATAATCTGGATGCATTTATTTTATCTGTCATATCTTCATATCTTGTTTCCTTGATGGCTTCAATTAATCTTATACTCATTATTGAAGCTGTCGTCTGTACTCATGGTAGATGTTTTATTGAGAAATTGAAAGTCCAATTACCATATGAATTGTAACTTTGTGGCATGCAACTTATAAGAATATTTAGTCTACAAAAGACTCATCAGTGACGCTCGAATAAAAAAAATGTTAAAAGGCCAAATAAAGTACGAAGTTGAAGAGCATTGAAGACCCAAAATTTCGAAACAAAGGTTTTGCCATATAGTAATCTATTTATTCCTTTGGAAGAAAATCCTTAGTATTTCGAAAATTTCAAAGTTTATAATAGGACAGTCACTCAAAAAAAAAAGAAAAAGAAAAGAGAAACAGTTAGAGGTCAGAATACCTTTACTTATGATGACCATGATTCAATGTCACATGTCCAGCTCTTACTGCCGTATCCTGAATTAAGATAAGAAATGCGAAAATTCTTAACTTTAACTACATGTAACTTATGTGTACGCATCACTGATAATTGGTGCTCATATGTTGCATATAATTTTCATAAATGTATTCACTGTTCAGACATGTCGGACATAATATAACATTATACATTATATTCTATTAAATGACAGATTTAGTCTCAGTTTAAACTTAATCATGTTAATAATGTTAATGGCTATTTTCTTGGTCTGTTAGTGTTAATGAAATTAAATATTTTGACAGAAATATTGTTTTGTTTAATTATAATTATGTTTTCCGACCTAAGATAAATATTTATAACAGAAATACCGTTTTGTTAATTTTCTTCTTGCTTTCCTGTGATTGAAGTACATAATGTCACGTGGTAAACATTTAGAAATAATCAGTTCATTCTGAGACATAATATATTAGTATACTATTCCAGGTTTATTGTCACAATGCACATTAGCACGTTGTATTAAATACTACACACACAACACGCACAGGGGCCGTGTCAAAGCATGAATTATATAGTTGCGTTAAAATTAAACTTGATATTTTATAAACATTCTGATTATTACAATGTCACGTGGTAGCCTATCCATAGAGGGACCGTATCAAAGACATAAAGAACTACCTGTATAGATGATCGAATCTTTTCGAGAAGTTCTGAGAATCTTGTTTCCGAGGATATCGAATGGCCCGTAGAAGCTTCCAAAACTCACTCACCCTCAGGGGGTTCACGCAAAAAAAAAAGTAGACGCTCTTAATGTAACCAGATTGTTTTGGTCGTATAATAAAATAAACACCTCAGGATCAATGGATTCGTTTTATTGTGTAATATAAGAAATGACCCTGCAATACAAATACAAATAATAAATACAAAGAAAGATAACTCTATTCATTCTAGGTGACAATACCTAAAATACAATACTCAAATACTTCCTACTGGACAACTATGGTTTTCCATGTTATTTACTTACAAATCTATTTACATAGAATGTTAATCATGAGAAATATTGTTCTCATCATAAATTACACATCTTAACATTTAACATATTGTATTCTACCAAATATTCTTCTGATAGTCATTTATGGGTCATTCCATTCAAATTACTAACAACATTGAATTAGTACACATAAAGCAAAGCGTACAGTAACATAACACAATAAGCTTATTAAAACAAATATTATAGCCATGCTCAAGACAAATGTTAAGCACAAAAACACACATATAAACAGAATACACAACCTACCATGTATGAGGTACATAGGTCCTGTATTTACAATATGGAATCTTCTACATGATATACTAACAGTATGGTTCAAATATCTGTAATAAAAATATTATCATAACTATTTGTGTTTATAGTTTACGTATCAAATTATCAAATCATTTAATAGTTTAAAATATGTCTTAACATACAAATTACTATTTTATATCTTTACTATTACTTCTTTTCACTAAACTGAGTAATTCATATAATTTTACTGTTTATGGCTTAAATACTTACAAAATGATTTGTTTGACTGTGTCAATTTAGTTAAACTGATTTAAACAATATTTAATATACTTTTATATGTTTTAATCTATTTTATACACCTTTTACTCTGAAATCATTCATTCTGACCATTCATACCAAATCATCTATACAATCTATTCATATCAGTATTTTAGTATGAATGTGACATATTAAGTAGAGAAAACTGACCTGATAATGGAATCAAAGATGTCCACAAATATAAATATATCAAAGCAAACAACACACAACTATACAATTCAAAGTATGAGTAAATTCTGACTTAACAATAGAATTTCCCTCCAAAATGACCATATGACTAAATTAGCCAATTATCACAAAGAAGAAAAAGTTTCACAATACAAACTAGTAAAACCCAGAGAGTAAACAAATAATCAATATATCAAAACTCACTGAGCCATGTAAAAAATCATACAATGAACATAACCAGTGGAGCATGACTAGAAACTAACTCACTAAATACTTAGAATTAAAAATATTACACTCATCAAATATATAGTATCACAATATCAAAGTATAATACAAAAGTAAAAATATCCAAATTAACACACTACCACATACTCCCCGCTGCAGGAAAAAATGACGTCCCGTCATTTATCAGTATGTGTAGATGTCTTCAAAATATCTAAAATAGTGCGTGCTGCTTCACTCTTCATATCCACAAAAAGATCAGACTGTACCAGATCAGTAATGCAATCAATCTTCTGTTTCCACTCACTCTTAACACTAACTGCTGACTTAGATATATCATAATCACCTGATGTATACCAAGCGGGTGGTTTTCTAGATCTAGTTGAGCGTCTGACAGGAACATTATCTGAATCATCTGACTCTAGTGAAATATCTGCCTCAGGTGTATCATCCTGTTGGCCATCACTTTCCTCTACTGGAGCGCTTTCTATGTGTACAGATTCCTCCTGCTCAGCCTGTGTAGCAGTATGGGCGTCCCCATGCGGATCTGTAGTTTCTACAGCTTCCCTGTTGTTATCTTCGAGCTGTGTTTCATCAACATCTGGATCAATTGACTCTTCAGTGATGATTCTATCACTGTCCAAATATCCATCTGAGTTGACAATGAAATGGTTTTCAGAATCAGACTCGTCTTCTGATGTGGTATCAGAATCTGAACCTTCTTCTGGTTTGTCCTGTTTCTTCAGTGAGTGTTTAATATGATCTTTTGTGGATTTATGAAGTGATTTTTCCTTGTCATAGATGAATCCAATGGGTAAAAGTAGGTTTCTATGTAATGTTCGTGTTCTTCCTGTTCCATTTTCCCTTCTTACAGTATAAACTGGTATATCTGTGTTTGGCTGAGTCATGACTTTGTATGGTTCTTCTTCCCATTTGTCAGACAATTTATGTTTTCCATCAAATGCAAGGATTCGGACCAAAACTTTATCTCCAATGCTGATATTAGCTCCTCGGACCTTGGTATCATACATCTGTTTTTGTTTTTCTCTGGCCTTTTTGGCAGCCTCTTCAGCAAGTTGGTATGCCTTTGATAAACGCTCCTTCAATTCCTTAATGTAATTCGTTGAAGGCTCAAAGTCATCCTTCCTTAATCCAAAAACAACATCAATGGGAAGTCTCGGATTACGACCAAACATCAGTAAATAAGGTGACTGACCAGTAGACTCGTGTCTAGTGCAGTTGTATGCATGTACCAAAGGTCCAATGTATTGTTTCCAGTTGACTTTCTGGTGATTTTCCAAAGATCCAAGCATGTTTAACAAAGTTCTATTGAATCTTTCTGTCATACCGTTACCGATAGGGTGATAGCTTGTTGTTCATGGTCTGATGTCTGGATCCATAGTTTGTGCTTTTTCCCAGTCAATAATATTTCCTATATTGG